TTGCCTCGACCCTGAATTTGAGCAGCCAAAATGCTGCCTATTCCGATTACAAGCATTATATTCTACAATTACAATTAGCCTACGCTAAACAAACTGCGCTTATGATGATTGAGTCGACGTATCTACCTTATCATGTAATTAATGTAATTATTTCCCGTTTCACACAACACACACCGTCAATCGAATTGCCGGAATGATCACAAAAGTAGCGACATCGCCATGTTCGACGCAATAAAGTGAAATATCGTAGCAGTAATCCTTCATATGGCAGCAAATAACATGCAGTGAAATGTGCGCAGCATAGACAAAAAAGATTCAAAGTTACATCAACTTATCATTTTGCAATCAGCAAATGACGTCAAAGATATGAACAAATAAATCACGTAAATAGATTTAATTAAAAAGTTTTTGCACCTGGCTGTCCAAACAAAACAAGTTTTCAGGAAAAATCTAGTATTTTTTTCTACAATACTTCGATCATATACCAAAGTTAGACCGTAAAACAAAATTTTAGTCGCATTTTAAAAGGTAAATCTTTGGTCGTCATCGGACCAAAGTATATTATTATTCAATGTCCTAGCTCCCATGTGATAATGCGGGATTTAAAATGTAAGCAAAAACACATTGAGATGTGAGAAGATTCTGAATTGTTGGACGCAAGAGCCAAGCTGCTACGCGCCCAAGGCTATATAAACCAGGTAGAACGCTCCCGACGAAAAAGTGGTGACAAGCGATAATTAGTAGCCGCGACCCTCTTTTGTTCAAAACTATATCCGCAAGCAGCATTTACAGGCTAGCGGAAATCGACCAATCGGCGTTCGGCAATACTCAACGCTGATTGGCCCGATGCTCGTGACGAAATTGCGGGGGACTGCAGCTATTCCCCTATGGCGTTTAATAGACTTACGGCTTTTGAAGGGGATTTATACCAGTTTTTGTTGGGTTTGAGGCCATTTTTGAGCTTGGATATTCTTTCTGTGACTTTTGACTGTGTAATAACGACATTTAATCATAACATTTCTATATACTACCGGTGTCACATCGACCAAAAAGACCGTAAGTACATGGGATAGACGGACCACTGCTGATGGGGCCACACATGCCGGCGTGTGGTCATCGGAGGCCCATGAGGGCTCGACATAGGCCCTTCATGGGTCGGTATAGGCCCGGTGGGTCCAGTGCAAGCCTATCAGGGGCCGGTGCTGACCCAACAGGGCCCAGTGACATATAATGTAAGGCCGTCTAGGGACGTTGAGGGCTCATGGGGGCCATATAGGACCAATAGGGACCACATAAGCCAATCAGGGGCCATTTAGGCCAATAAAGGCACTTCAAGGGACTTGAAAAGGTCATTCAAGAGCTGTGGTGGGCCCATGAGAGGACGGCACTGGTCCAGCAGGTGCAGTCAGGGGATGTTGTACGGGTTTCTCAGTGGCCCATTTGGGCATATCAGTGACCAATTTAGACCCAGCAGTGGGCTTTGTAGACCTATCAGGGGCTGGTGATGGTTCATCAGGGGCCAGCGTTAGTCCATCGGGGCACGGCATATGCCCATCAGAGGTAATTGCGAGCCCACGCTGAACAATGATGGCCCTTCAACGGCCCCATGGATCTACATTGACCCATGGGCCATGATGTGTCATGTATGCCCCTATGACAGGCCTACTCAGACCCCTGATGGACGTTCCCGGCCTCTGATGACCCTATGCTGAATGCTGATGGGGCTCTAAGAGTCTCCAATAACCCTTCGTCACCCCATTATTACCATACGCTGGCATTAGGGACCCCACATCAGCCGCAGGGCAGTCCGTACCATGACAGCATGTCTTTTCGGCCGATATTTCATGGGTAATATTTATCAAAATCATGATTTTATGGTGCCATTATATAGGTAACAGTCATAAGAAATATATTTCAACTCGAAAACAGCTCGAAACAGCATATAATTTTAAAGAAACCCCTCCGAAATCCAAAAGCCTATTCGGGTCCATAGAGAATAACTGCGGTCCCCCGCAATTTCGTCACGAGCGTCGGACCAATCAGCGTCGAGTACCGCCGAGCGCTGATTGGTGAATTTTCCGCTAGCGTGTAAGTACTGCTCACGGAACAAGAGTTCGTCGACAATCCTCCACAAACGTCTGTCACCATTTTTCATAATGCTAAACAGCCGGAGCGTACCCCCCTGTACGCGCCCTAACCCAGAACAACAACAAGATTCTGAATTCTGAGTAGTTGTCTCGGTACTGTCTATCGATTAATTGACTTTATTCGCCGTTTACGTACTGAAATTTACGGACGACGGTGAAAACAGGGCGCCTATATTTTATCAATGACCATTGAAGTGGTAACATGCAACTAAATGTCCTTGAGTTGTACAGTGGCCTGGGTGGGATGCACATGGCTATGAAAGGTAAGGCTCAGCCCTCGGGCTGGATTTCATTTATCTGACTGTCATGTGAGTAGTTAAGGTGATCTTTAATTAATAATTTCGTTGAAATATGTAGATATTTCAAGTATCATTTTAACACGAAGTTTTTCATTTTTCCGATGTCAGTCAGGCACACACATTTGCATTGGTATGTCCAATCCATTTATGAAATGTTTCCATTTTCGGAACAACGTTTCAGGAATGGATATGCCGTTTCCAAAAATAAAAATGGTCTGCTCCATAAATGGAGACGCTGTGACCGGCATTGCTACCTTTTAAGCAAACTGGGCATTGATGCCATTGATTGGTGCAATTTAGTCTGCAAAGTATGGCATTTTCGACGAGAGCTCGTCTGTGCGGGCTTGTTCAGCTGGTGCGGATTTGGTGTGGTGTGGTGCGGATTTTGGCTTGGTACAGTGCAAATGTAGTGTAGTGGGGCGCTGGATTGACTTTGCGACGGACATGACAGACCAGATGAGATAGATGAGGAAAATTGAACAAAAATATTGTCAGAGCTTCGACATGTAATTGAGTGTGCTCTTGGGTTGAAATGAGTATGCAGTGGTCAGAATGGATTATGCCACCGCTGGTGGTCCCATGATCACGTGGTTTGCCCGCAAGCTCTCAACACGCGTCACGCACGCACCGCTCGGCTCTGCGCAGCTCTGCGAGGCGCCGGCGGTAGAGTGAGAGATAAGCAAGGTGATGGGAGGATCACGAAATGTGCATGGCCGATGGCAGGGCTAGATTACCGTTCCACCGCCTCAAGCAGTCAACTCCGAACGATTTATGGAACGATTTATCGGGTAGGCTAGACGCAGCTAATATGTTGCATCGAAAGAATCTGGCTGCTCATGCATTTTGCAACATTCGTAAACGAGATGCGCTTGGCTCATGTGAGAGTTTGGCGTTGTCGCTGGGTGGTAGGACGAGACGCACATAGCTGATGGCAGGCCTTGAAAACGGCCACTTCGCCGCGGCTAAGTAGTCAAATCCGCTGTGAATGACTTGCCGATCAGAGTTGTACGATACAACGGAAGACGCAAAATGCATGCATGAGATGATTCCACATTTAGCCGTTGAGTGTTCATATCTTTATTTTTATAACTGGGTAATGGGTATACGCTGTCAAGCCGTTTAGCTAAATGGCGATGTTTGACAGTTGACACCATTGGGGTAACCATGGAACATAGCACAATAATCACCCTGGAAAAACCACCAGGGGCAGGTACTGGATATGGTTTTTGTACAGGGTGCGTCAAGTTTTGATACCTTACACCTACTCGAGATAACTTTTTTCACATTGAAGAACATTTATTTCACAACGAACATGCAGATACATATATCATTCGACACATTGGTTGTCCTGGCCTTTATCGGCCGGTGTCGGTGTAGCCCGTCCCCGGCCAGGCCGAGGACGGCGCCGGTAACATCGGCTCGGAGTTCGGACCGTCCCGGCCCCGGGGAGATCTGTAGGTTACCTCCCCGTCTGGGGAGTGCTATAGATTACCTCCCCAGACGTCCGTCCGGACGTACTCGAGATAACTTAGTATATTTCCATTATGCTTCCAAATATCGCGTTCATGAGAGCGTCCTCCCTCCCTGAGGCGGGGATTAGCTGGACAGCTGATCTTGACTCAGAGGGTGACTAGCCTGGGTGATTGTTTACCCAGCGATCGGCACATGAACTACGGTCTAGACATGGGGGCCTAACTTGACAGTTCGGAGGTGCGTAGTCGCGCAATTAGCATCTTCTAAGCTGACAACACACAGAAGGACGTTGCCTGACACTTACTTCTTACCATTAAGCGCTGGTGGAAAAATTTTAAGGAGAAGGAGCATTGTCGCTGGCATTGCGCTAGCGTATGTAAAGGAATCCAGGGGAAGTCGCGGCAACACTGACCAACCTTTCCACTTACAATCTGCTTACCCATAACTATTTGCACTAACCCACAGGAAGGTAGCAGTTACCCCCCCCCCCTCCCTTCCCCCACACCCAAGTAAAGGTCAAACTGGTGATGGCTGAAGGATTCAAAGACCAAAGGTCATTTGCCTGTGTTATGTACTATATTTAAAAGAATCATTTTTTTTGTGGATTTCTTTCTAACTTACGAGTAAAAGTCATCGGAGAAACGACGCTTTGTAGCATGAGTTATAACGATGAAAAAAACGGCTTTCAGCCATATTGTATGCCCATGCCCCATGTGTTAATATATTGCGTGCCATGTTTCACCGTATCCACTGCCACCTGCACCGGACCATAACGTGTCCTGAAGACTGTGTTCTGCTATGATCCTCAACTACCCCGTTTCTGGTCAGTTCTCGCACCTAACAGCACCTGCTGCCCGTGTCCACCAGACTGCGGCGTTCCTCTGGAGGTGGTGGCGGCAGTCGACATCAACACGACGGCCAACAGCGTGTACCGACACAACTTTCCGGGCACGCGCCACCTGCAGCGGAACATCCAGTCGTTCAGCGCCGCCGAGCTGGACAAACTGCGGCCCGATGTGATTACAATGAGCCCGCCATGCCAGCCCTTCTCCAGGTGAGGTGTGCGAGAAACACAGCTGGGTTTTACTTTTGTGTTTTTTATTGGTGTTCATGTTCTCAACGCTGGTATATCCAGTGTTGTACCATCACATATAAAACACAAATGAGACCGGCACAAGCTTTTGTCATGTCGAGAGGTAATCGACGGCTGACATAACTCAAGTGCGAGCGTCAACTGCGAATCAATAAATAACATCGGCAAGTACACACTAGTCGCTTGATAATTATATGAGATCGCGATTTTGATCGGGAATTCTGAGACATGTTGCTAAATGCAAATCGGAATAGAAAACCGCGCCTGCAGTTAGAAGATTTTCTTGCATGTCCTGGCTGCCCCGAGCTCACGCTGTTGCGTTTTGTCGCTGCGTAAGAATTGCATCTGAATTTTGATGACTTACTGATCTTGGTCTGATCCTGTCATGGAACGGAGTAAATAGGTTCACATTTTGGTGCCTGAGTTGACTAAATCACTCCGTTATCCCTGTAGTTTAGATGATCTTGCAGGTGGGACCGTCGTCACCGTTCTCGCACATGGTGTTGGGCGGGCAGTACTTTTTGCCGCAGCCCTTGGTCTTCTTTCCGCGCCGGCAGAGGGCGCCACTGGGCGTGTCGATGCAGGTCAGACCGTGCTGACACTCGCGCACCTCGCACGTGTTGGGCAGACAGATGGGCGAGCCGCCACGAATGTAGCAGTTGGTGCCGCGCCGGCAGAAGAAGCCCTCGCAGGAGGGGACGTCGGGCACGCAGTCGGGTCCGTCGGCAGTGTCCTTGCACTCCTCGCCGGCCGCGCACTTGATGTGGGCGCACGTCTTGCGCCGGCACACAGGGCCGTTGGGCGTGTCCTCGCAGAACTCCGTGTCCTTACACTGCAGGTTTTTGCACGAGGGAGGCTCTGGAACGCACACGTGGCAGACTTGTACCTCGCAGACCTCGTTGGCGCCGCACTGTTTGTTGCACGTCTGGGGGACGAATTCGGTCGGCTTTTTGCCGTAATACGCGGCGGCGGCCGAGATGGCCATGAGGAGAACTGCGCTGCGGAAGATCATGGTGAGGTGTCTGTGGCCGGAGAGGTGGACCGGGGGCAGTGGGAGCTGTGCTGCTGCTGTGGAGCTGGCTCGACTTCTGAGCGCCGCTCGCCGGTTATATACCGGCCGACGCGCCGCCGGCGGTGGCCGACCGGTACGCACGTGCGTCACACACGTGTGCCAGACCGGACGGCGGCGCCGGATAACCGGTCCGTACGCAGGATGGATGGAGCATCGGCCCGTCAGGCGAGGCGCGTTAATCCCCTCGGAACAGCGGTCAAACGCGTGGGTCACGCGCAAACCGCTGTGTTCCGCCGGCTCCGGCGCGTTTGATTTCTCGCTAGGATTACATATGTAGTATTGGTTGGGAGCTCACACGTGTTCGTGGCTGGTGCGTTATGCGCCTTGCGTGGGTGGGGAGAAAGGTGGTTCAATGATCTGAGCGATTGCTTGTACTTGGGTGGCCAAGTAGGCAATCGAGCTGGAATCTTCACTCTTCAGGCGATTGTTCTCTGCTGATATTCATATTTTAATTTTTTGCTTTGTATTCAGTGACGACGAAAAGTTGTTATCGTGACCTTTTTAAATATGTGTTCCAAAGCGCGAACATATTATGTTGAATGGTTATTTATCGCAAACCATTAACCTCAGATCACACATGGGAGGAGAGAATCGGTTCACTCTTTGCTCTTAGAAAGGAACGGTACATCCCTCCTCCCCCAGAAAACAACGACACATCCCCATATTTCTTACACAAGTGACGATTCTGTAGTCCAGTTACGCTCGTTATGTGGAGCTGGAGGAAGCCTCACGGTAGGAGAGTCTTCCGGTACCACAGACGTGCCGGCGAACTTTCAGCGTGGCACTTCTTCATAACTAATGGCGGCCAACAGTTTGCTTCTGGTAGCGACAGTGCCTAATTGTTCTCTTGTATTGCATTATTCAGTGTTTTGTTGTTTTTGCAATATCTCAGCCGTTTCTGGGCCGATTTAGCTGAAACTTGGACTGTCGGTGGTAGTATATGATAGGGTAGGGTAGGGTAGGGTAGGGTAGGGGTAGGGGTAGGGTAGGGAAGGGTAGGGTAGTGTAGGGGTAGGGTAGGGTAGGGTAGGGTAGGGTAGGGTAGGGTGGGGTAGGGTGGGGTAGGGTAGGGTAGGGACTAGGGTAGGGTAGGGTAGGGTAGTGTAGGGGTAGGGTAGGGTAGGGTAGGGTAGGGTAGGGTAGGTTAGGGTAGGGTAGGGTAAGGGTAGGGTAGGGTAGTGTAAGGGTAGGGTAGGGTAGGGTAGGGTAGGGTAGGGTAGGGTAGGGTAGGGTAGGGTATGGTAGGGAATGGTAGGGTAGGGTAGGGTAGGGTATACATATGGTAGGGTAGGGTAGGGTAGGGTAGTGTAGGAGTAGGGTAGGGTAGGGTAGGGTAGGGTAGTGTAGGGGTAGTGTAGGGTATGGTAGGGGTAGGGTAGTGTAGGGGTAGGATAGGGTAGGGTAGTGTAGGGGTAGGGTAGGGTAAGGTAGGGTATGGTTGGGTAGGATAGGGTAGGGTATGGTAGGGTAGGGTAGGGTAGGTTAGGGTAGTGTAGGGTAAGGGTAGGGTAGGGTAGGGTAGTGTAAGGGTAGGGTAGGGTAGGGTAGGGTAGGGTAGGGTAGGGTAGGGTAGTAGGGTAGGGACTAGGATAGGGTAGTGTAGGGTAGGGTAGGGTAGGGTAAGGTAGGGTAGGGTAGGGTATGGTAGGGTAGTAGGGTAGGGTAGGGTATGCAGTAGGGTAGGGTAGGTTAGGGTAGCAGAGTAGGGTATGGTATGGCAGGGTAGGGTAGGGTAAGGTAGGGTAGAGTAGAGTAGAGTAGGGTAGGGTAGGGTAGGGTAGGGTAGGGAGTAGGGTAGGATAGGGGTAGGGTAGGGGTAGGGTAGGGGTAGGATTGAGTTCAAAAAGGGCCCAACATACAAAACACTTGAACACCCCGCAACTATCACCATCCCTTACAGTTCAATTAAAAACAGCTACACAATCTACCCAAATAATACAACTAAAAACACAAGTCAATCACCCAAACTAATGCACCCGTAACATAACATAAATCAAAACATACAGTTATCGCGTAAACCTGTACCTCTAGTCTACTATTATAAATCTTAAAAAGTCCGCCGCCGCCCACGCCGCCGCCGTCGGGGTTACTCCCTAAAAGGCTTATTACGGCGCCGTCGATTGACGCAGGAGGATGAAATTTTCACAACTCGTGGGTCACGTAATAAAACAGGTTGTATTAAATTTTGGGCACGATGCGGCCGGGGGTGCGCCCGTGGCGCGTGCTCATGTGCGCCATAGGGTTAGCATTAGAATCGGCATAAACACTTATTAAACAGGCTATTGCTCGGGAACGGTAAGGGCCACAGAAGTGAAATTTTCACACCAAGTCGAGCGCGTGCACTCATTTGTCGTATTAAATTTTCGAGGGTGTGGGTTCAGCGGTGTGCACGTGATGGGGCCGCGACCGGCGCCGAGCAGAGGGCACGTGCTTTAGGCTCAGTTCTTCGCTTAGAAAACTGAGTGAAAAGCATCAGAGCCAACGAAGGCCGACACAAGGCACCGCTGGCCAGGGGGATTCGCCAGTAAATACAATTAATTTGTTTTTGCAATATCTCAGCCGTTTCTGGGCCGATTTAGCTGAAACTTGTACTGTCGGTGGTAGTGTAGTGTAGGGTAGGGTAGGGTAGGGTAGGGGATTGTAGGGTAGGGTTGGGTAGGGGATTGTAGGGTAGGGTTGGGTAGGGGATTGTAGGGTAGGGTTGGGTAGGGTAGGGTAGGATAGGGTAGAGTTAGGTAGGGTAGGGTAGGGTAGGGTAGGGTAGGGTAGGGTAGGGTAGGGTAGGGTAGGGTAGGGTAGGGTAGGGTAAGGTAGGGTAGGGTAGGGTAGTGTAAGGGTAGGGTAGGGTAGGGTAGGGTAGGGTAGGGTAGGGTAGGGTAGGGTAGGGTAGGGTAGGGTAGGGTAGGGTAGGGTAGTGTACGAGTAGGGTAGGGTAGGGTAGGGTAGGAGTAGGGTAGGGGTAGGGTAGGGGTAGGGTAGGGTAGGGTAGGGTAGTGTAAGGGTAGGGTATGGTAGGGTAGGGTAGGGTAGGGTAGTGTAAGGGTAGGGTAGGGTAGGGTAGGGTAGGGTAGGGTAGGGTAGGGTAGGGTGGGGTAGGGTATAGGGTAGGGTAGGTAGGGTAGGGTAGGGTAGGGTAGGTAGGTAGGGTAGGGTAGGGTAGTGGTAAGGTAGGGTAGTGTAGTGTAGTGTAGTGTAGGGGTAGGGTAGGGTATGGTAGGGTAGGGTAGGGTAGGGTAGGGTAGGGTAGTGTAGGGGTAGGGTAGGGTAGGGTAGGGTAGGGTAGGGTAGTGGTAAGGTAGGGTAGGGTAGTGTAGTGTAGGGGTAGGGTAGGGTATGGTAGGGTAGGGTAGGGTATGGTAGGGTAGGGTAGGGTAGGGTAGGGTAGGGTTGCGTTCAGTAACATCTTAACTTACAAAGGGCTCGAACAACTCGCATGCATCACCATCATACTTTACAGTTCAATTAAAAGCAGTTACCCAGTTCTACAAAAATCATACCAATAAAATGCAAGTTTCTACACCCAAACTAATGTAGGGTATGGTAGGGTAGTGTAAGGGTAGGGTAGGGTAGTGTAAGGGTAGGGTAGGGTAGGGTAGGGTAGGGCAGTGTAGGGGTAGGGTAGGGTAGGGTAGGTAAGGGTAATTTAGGGGTAGGATTAGGGTAGGGTAGGGTAGGGTAGGGTAGGGTAAGGGTAGGGTAGGGTAGTGTAAGGGTAGGGTAGGGTAGGGTAGGGTAGGGTAGGGTAGGGTAGGGTAGGGTAGGGTAGGTAGGGTAGGGTATGGTAGGGTATGGTAGGGTAGGGTAGGGTAGTGTAGGGTTGAATTGAGTAAAATCCTAACTTACAAAGGACTCGAACAACTCGCATGCATCACCATCATACTTTACAGTTCAATTAAAAGCAGTTACCCAGTTCTTCACAAATAATACCAATAAAAATGCAAGCTTCTACACCCAAACTAATGCACCCGTTAATCATACATATCAAAACATACAGTTATCGCGTAAACCTGTACCTCTAGTCTACTATTATAAATCTTAAAAAGTCCGCCGCCGTCGGGGTTACGCAGCCGGCGTTACTCCCAAAAACGGCTATTGCGGCGCCGTCGATTGACGCAGGAGGGTGAAATTTTCACGACTCGTGGGTCACGTCATTCAACAGGTCGTATTCAATTTTGGGCACGATTCGGCCAGGGGTGCACCCGTGGCGCGTGCTCATGTGCGCCATAGGGATAGCATTAGAATCGCGACCGGTGACGAGCAGAGGGCACGTGCTTTAGGCTCAGTTGTTCGCTTAAAAAACTGAGTGAAAAGCATCAGAGCCGGCAGGTCATTGACCTTTGACAACGAAGGCCGACACAGGGCACCGCTCGCCAAGGGGATTCGCCAGTAAATACAATTAATTTGTTTTTGCAATATCTCAGCCGTTTCTGGGCCGATTTAGCTGAAACTTGGACTGTCGGTGGTAGTGTAGGGTAGGGTAGGGGTAGGGTAGGGTAGTGTAGGGGTAGGGTAGGGTAGGGTAGGGTAGGGGTAGGGTAGGGTTGGTAGGGTAGGGTAGGTTAGGGGTAGGGGTAGGGTAGGGTAAGGTAGGGTAGGGTAGGGTAGGTTAGGGTAGGGTAGGGTAGTGTAAGGGTAGGGTAGGGTAGGGTAGGGTAGGGTAGGGTAGGGTAGGGTAGTAGGGTAGGGTAGGGACTAGGGTAGGGTAGGGTAGGGTAGGGTAGGGTAAGGTAGGGTATGGTAGGGTAGGGTAGGGTATGGTAGGGTAGTAGGGTAGGGTATGGTAGGGTAGGGTAGAGTTAGGTAGAGTAGAGTTAGGTAGGGTAGGGTAGGGTAGTAGGGTAGGTTAGGGTAGTAGGGTAGGGTAGGGTAGGGTAGGGTAGGGTAGGGTAGGGTAGGGTAGAGTAGGGTAGGGTAGTAAGGTAGGGTAGGGTAGTAAGGTAGGGTAGGGTAGGGTAGGGTAGAGTAGGGTAGGGTAGTAGGGTAGGGTAGGGTAGGGTAGGGTAGTAGGGTAGGGTAGGGT